AATTTTCACGTCGATGTTCATGAGTGAGATTGGCCTGTAATTCTCTTTCTTGGTTGTGTCTTTGTGTGGTTTTGGTATTAGGGTAACTGTAGCTTCATAAAAGGAGTTAGGCAATGACTCTTCTGTTTCTATATTGTGGAATACGTTAAGGAGTATAGGTATTAGCTCTTCCTGGAAGTTCTGGTAGAATTCTGCATTGAAACCATCTGGTCCTGGGCTTTTTTTGGTAGGGAGATTTTTGATAACAGCTTCTAATTCTTCGCGACTAACAGGTCTATTTAGATTGTTCACCTGTTCTTGGTTCAACTTTGGTATATGGTACTTATCTAAAAAAATGTCCATTTCTTTTACATTTTCCAACTTTGTGGCATATAAACTTTCATAGTAAGATCTAATGATTCTCTGGATTTCCTCTGTGTCTGTGGTTATGTCCCCCTTTTCATTTCTGATCTTATTAATTTGCATGTTCTCTCTCTGCCGTTTGATTAACTTGGCTAGGGGTTTGTCAATCTTGTTGATTTTCTCCAAGAACCAGCTTTTTGATTCATTGATTCTTTGGATTGTTTTCTCTGTTTCTATTTTGTTGATTTCAGCCCTCAGTTTGATTATTTCCAGTCTTCTAGACCTCCTGGGTGAATCAGCTTCTTTTTTTTCTAGATCTTTCAATTGTGCTGTCAATTCTCCAATGTGTGCTTTCTCCGCTTTCTTTAATTGGGCACTTAGTGCTATGAACTTTCCTCTTAGCACTGCTTTCATAGTGTCCCATAGGTTTGAGTATGTTGTGTCTTTGTTTTCATTAAATTCAAGGAAGAGTTTAATTTCTTTCTTTATTTCTTCCTTGACCCAGGGGTGATTTAGTAGTTGACTGTTCAGTTTCCATGAGTTTGTTGGCTTCCTGGGGGGAGCATTGTTGTTGAATTCTAATTTTAGTCCATGGTGATCTGACAAGACACAGGTAGTTACTAATATTTTTCTGTATCTGTGGAAGTTTGCTTTGTTACCGAGTACGTGGTCAATTTTCGAGAAGGTTCCATGAGCTGCAGAGAAAAAGGTATATTCTTTCCTATTTGGGTGGAGTGTTCTATAGATGTCTGTTAAGTCCATTTGATTCAATACCTCCAATAGGTCTCTCAATTCTCTGTTTGGTTTCTGTCTGATTGACCTGTCCATTGGTGAGAGAGGAGTGTTGAAGTCTCCTACTATTAGTGTGTGTGGTTTGATGACCGCCTTGAGTTCTAGAAGAGTTTCTTTTACATATGTGGGTGCCTTTATATTAGGAGCATAGATATTCAGGATTGAGACTTCCTCCTGATGAATTGTTCCAGTTATGAGTATGAAATGTCCATCTCCATTTCTTCTGATTGATTTTAGTTTGAAGTCGATTTTGTTAGATATTAGAATGGCCACGCCCGCTTGTTTCTTAGGTCCATTTGCTTGGAAAACCTTTTCCCAACCCTTTACTCTGAGTAAGTGTCTGTCTTTGTGGTTGAGGTGTGTTTCTTGTAAACAGCAGAATGTTGGATCCTGTTTTCGTATCCAATCTCTAAGTCTGTGCCTCTTTATAGGTGAATTGAGTCCATTGATATTAAGTGATATTAATGACCAGTGGTTGTTGACTCCGGTCATTTTTTTTTTTTGTTAGGTAGTAGAGTATATGTGTTTTTCTTCTTTAATTTGTGCTTGTGAATGGTCGCTAGATGTTCGAGTTATTGTAGGCCGTGTTGGGAATGTTGGATTCCTTCGGTAGTGATTTTCCTTCTAATATTCTCTGTAAGGCTGGATTAGTAGCTACGTATTGTTTAAATTTGTTTTTATCCTGGAATATTTTGTTTTCTCCGTTGATAGTGAACAGTAGCTTGGCAGGGTATATTAGTCTGGGTTTGCATCCATGGTCTCTTAGTTTCTGCAGTACCTCTATCCAGGATCTTCTGGCTTTCATGGTTTCCATAGAGAAATCCGGTGTAAGCCTGATAGGTTTACCTTTATAAGTTACTTGACCTTTTTCCTTTGCAGCTCTTAAAATTTTTTCTTTAATATTTATGTTTTGTGTTTTGATTATTATATGGCGCGGGGATGTTTTTTCCTGATCCAATCTATTCGGTGTTCTGTATGCTTCTTGAACCTTCATAGGAATATCGTTCTTTAGGTTGGGAAAGTTTTCTTCTATAATTTTGTTGAATATATTTTCTGGGCCTTTGATCTGCAGTTCTTCTCCTTCTTCAATCCCTATTATTCTTAGATTTGGTTTTTTTATTGTGTCCCAGGTTTCCTGAATGTTTTGTGAAGAGAGTTTGTTGGATTTGCCGTTTTCTCTGACCAGAGCATTTATTTTCTCTATGGTATCTTCAGAATCTGAGATTCATTCTTCTATCTCTTGTATTCTATTGGTTATGCTTGATTCTGTAGTCTCCGCTCGTTTACCTAGGTTTTCCATATCCAGCCGGTTCTCGTTTTGTGTTTTCTTCATTGCCTCCATTTCAGTTTTCAATTCTTGGACTGTTTCCTTTACTTGTTTGATTGTTTTTTCTTGGTTTCTCAGGGTATCACTCACGGATTTACTTATTTCTTCAAACTTTTTGTTATATTTCTCATCCATTTCTATACTCATTTCTTCAAACTTTTTGTTATACTTCTCGACCAGTTCCTTAAGGGAGTTATTCATATCCTGTTTAAGGGACTCTATTGCTTTCATAATGGCACTTTTTTCCACTTCATCTGGGTTAGAGTGCTCAAATCCTTCTGTTGTAGGGTCATTGGGATCTGATATTTTCATGTTGTTTTTCAGATTGTTGGAGGAGGTCTTGCCTTGGCGTCTGCCCATCTCTTCGATCCAATGCTCTCTATTGGAACTTCTGGTATCGGGTCAGGTTCCCTTGTTGGGCAGGGAGTTCACTGACAGAATGCCTACCTTTCCCCAGGCAGGGTATTGAAGCACAGGCACTCCCTCTTTCCGGGATGCCCCTACAGAGCAGGCCCAGTGTGCAAGGCAGCTGAACTGGGGAAATTTTATGGCCTCAGTGGGAGGGGAGAAATATAGAAATTTGTACCTGGATGGAAGCTGGGATGGCAGGCGGGAGAGCCTAGCAGTGTGGACACAGCACTGCAGGCTGACCTGGGAGTCTATGGGGTCAGGGAAAGTCCTAGCTCCTCCTCGCTGGGCCCCTGCCGCGGGCCCGAATCAACTCACCACTCCGAAGGCCCTCTGGATGGAAGCTGGGATGGCTGGTGGGAAGCACTCGGAAGGCCCTCTGGATGGAAGCCGGGATGGCTGGCGGGAAGCTAGCAGGGTGGAGCCAGCAGGGCAGGCTGACCTGGGAGTCTATGGGGTCGGGGAAAGTCCTAGCTCCCCCTCGCCGGGGCCCCTGCCGTGGCCCGAATCAACTCACCACACCTGCTTTGTGTTTTTTCATGAGCAATTTGTAATCCCCAATAAGGCAAAATTTTCTTTATTTTTTTCAAGCATTCTTTCTAAAGTATCTATATTTATTTGAATCATCTAATGAGATTCACCCATGTAATGATAAAATAAATTGTGGAATTTGCTTATGTATTATTTCCATCGTTATGCTGTTGTGTATATGTCTGAGTGGTATGGCTGTATCTTGAGGTGGATCATTTCTAATTTTCCTGAGTATTCGCCACACTGATTTCCATATTGAGTGTACACCTTTGTGCTCAAACCAGCAATTGATAAATTTTTCTCTTACTCTACATTCTTCCCAGCAGGAGCTGTTATTCATTTTCTTGATCTTAGTCCTCTATAAGATGTATTCTTGGTTAAAAAAAAATAAAATCTTTTCGGTATTTTGTAGTCTGCTGCTTTGTCTGAATGATGGTGTCTTTTGCCATGCAGACACCCCTCAGTTTCATGAGGTCTCATTTATTAATATTTGATCTGAGTACCTGTGATAATGGTGTTCTTTTCAGAAAGTTTTTCCTGTGCAAATGAGTTTAAGACTTTTCTCACTTTCTCTTTTCCATGTTCAGTGTTTCAGGTTTTATGTTGAGGTCTTTGATTTATTTGGATTTGAATTTCCTGCAGGGTGTAAATATGAATTGATTTACCTTCTTTTACACGTAGCCATTCAGTTTTACCAACATAATTTATGGACAATGCTATCTTTTTGCCAGTATGCATTTCTGGCTTCTTTATCCAGGACAAGTTATCCACTGGTTTGTGATTTCATGTCTGGGTCTTCAACTCAATTCCATTGGTGAGCATGTCTGTTTTTGTGTCAGTACCATGCTCTTTTTATTACTGTAGCTCCTCAGTACAATTTAAGGTCAGGGAAGCGGATACATCCAACAGTTATTTTATTATTCAGGATTGTTTTTCCTACTATGTATTTATTCTAATAGAGACTATAGTCCACAGGTTGGGCCCAGTTATTATTTAAGTTCTGCTTTCTTTTTAAACTTCTTTTAAATTAATTTTGAAAAGTGCAAAACTTTCCACACCACAAAATATTCATTAATGGGTAAAATATAAACATAATTGAGATTCCATCAAGTGTAGTTTGAACTCTAGTTCTTTTCATGAGCCTATCAACATATTTACTCTTTTTTAATTCATAATAGATCAAGTATGAGATTGCTTTTTTGGATTTATAATTAAGGTATGAATATTTAGGTGCTACAATTGATGTTGTCAAATAAGATATTTTATTAGCATACAGTTTTCAACTTTTTTAAACTTGAAAATATTTTTGTAATGTTGAAAAGACCTTTAGTTATGTTATTTAAGTACAAAACAAATTATAAATTATGCCATTTCCTTTAAGATACTCTCATCAGTTTGGTGTTTGATTCATTGTTTTCTATAATAAATAAATATCACAAATTGAATTTTATTTTGGTTAAGTGTGAAACTTTTCAGGAATTCTCCTTTATAAAGGCTCTATTCATTGTTGAAAGAATTTTGCTTCAATGCTGTTTGTGAAATGATTACTTAGATTTTTGAACATGCAAGTAAGTTTTACTGTGTGCTTGTTATCTTTTAGGAAACTCTCATAGATTGGTGTGATGAGAAGGAACTTAATTTGATACTAACAACTGGAGGAACAGGGTTTGCACCACGAGATGTCACTCCAGAGGTAAGCCAGAATGCCTTTCTCATATTCAAGGAATAGACTAGTTATATTATTTTTTATTCTGTTTAAAATTTTCCTATTATTTCTAGGAGTTTTATAAGCAAAATTACTACTCATTACTATGATAATACAAATATTTGGCTGTAGAAGAGTTTTTGAAAAATATTTCCTGACTTTATTTTTATTTATCCTTTAAATTGTTGAATATGAGAAACTTTGAACTGTTTTAGAAATTAGTCCTTCATTTGCTTTTAGCAGCTACAGTTCAGAAGGTTATATCAATTTTAGCCATTGCAATTCAAAATTGGATCTGGTTTCTTTCTTCTTGAAGTACCTTTGTCATATGTCTCAAAGTACAGTATGTAATTATTATATATTTATACTAAATTTATGCTAAATTCATGAATAGGCAACGTATTTTCCATATTTTAAATGTGAATAATATTTAAATGTAGAACTTAATAATCTAAATAAAAAATACCTATTGTTTATGTTATAATAGTATCTTCTACACAGAAAAATCAGGGAAAGGGTCTTTAATTTCTTTTTTAAAAAGCCACAAATGTCAGTCGTTACTATGGAGTAGTGGAAACTTATATTACCATTATGATTTGCTTACCTTTACCCTCAAGTAACTGTTTCTTGCTCAATTTCACTAATATTTCATAATATTAACTATGTCCTTTTATTTTGAAACCAATATACTATTGTATCTACTGCCTTATAATTAGGTTTATTCCTTCTCTTCATTTATTAAATAATTATTGTCTTCATACATTTTTAAATTTTGATCAGCATTAGAGTTCACAATTATGCATGCACAAATATAGTTTGTTAGGCCCCTCCCCTCCTTTTCTAATTGAATAATATTGCATAGATTACCAGAATTTGTTTTGAAAACAAATCTTTGTGTAACATAGATGTTTCTAATCCATAGACTATATTCTAAATTTTGAGAACTACTGTATACTTTTTGAAAATATAGTTTTCTAAAACAGGTACTAAAACTTTTATTGACTGTTCTCCTATTTTAGTATATTTCTTTTTATATTGTTATAATTAGGGTTATAAATAAAATACATTTTCTTTTAAAAATTCTGAATAGTTGTTTTGTGATAGTGTTAAATTCAACTGTATAAATAAAAAGATTGTCTTAGGAATCTGTTTAGTTTCTCTGTCCTTACTTTTCATCTAACATTAGGTGGTCATTTGACCATTTTTGTTATATGAGACTAACGAAAAGTTTGCAGGGCAAACTGTCTTTGTAGAGTTGTGGTTATATTTTATATTTTTTCTTTGTAAAGAAACTACCTTATGAAGATAATTGATTTTAAGAATTTGGATATTATTTAAATGATATTAAGCTTATATAATGAGTCCATAGTTTTTGTGTGATAGTTTGTTATGTTCACATTAGTATTTATATTTATACCAGAAAAATAAGAAACCATACAATTCATTCATAACCGAATAATAGTGTTATTTTTAATTATAAGGAAACAGTTTACATCACTAAAGTATCTAGTTTACTGTAATCTCATTGCTGCTGACCAGCAAGGTAACTGTAGGTGGCTGCATTCATTTACATTAGTCATACATGTGTGGGAGTATTCTTCTCACACTAAGTAGTTCTTCAATTCTTTATATGCCAGTTTCCTTTCATATCAATTACATTCTATTTTGACTTGACTTGGAGTTGTTCAGATTATCCAAATTCAAAGCTCAGAACCACAAGTTTGTCTTTACATCTGATATCATCAATAAATCTGGAATCACCCAGATTATATATACTTTGTTTTTCTAAAAAAGTCTGTGGATTCCCATACTTCTTTCCTTGCAAAAGATCATTAACTAGGATGGCATACAAAACTTACTTATTAAAGATATACAACTCAGAAGCAGCTTTATTGAAGAGAGACATAATTCAATACTAACAGAAATCCAATGCTTTGTTCAGATATGTTAGAATTGCAAGACCCAATGCATTCACCAATTTTTGGGCCATGGGAATCTTAATGATCAGTGGCTTTTGTGCCACTCAAACTGAAAACTTTCTATGAATGAGACTGAAAGTTTCAATATTCTGGTAACTCAGTGTTTCTAATAACCAATCACTATACAGAGGCTTTGGAGATTCTCTTTGTGAGTTAAAACCTTGTAATGGATAGGTAAAGGTACTCACTCCTATTACTTAGGAGATTTCAGGAGTTTGGGGATTATGCATATAGAACCAGGATTAGTCATTTAACCACTCTCTTGTTTAGTTTCCTTAAAATGGGGGAAATTGAATTATCCATTTTCCTGGGGTTCTGTGAACATTCGTTTTTAAAGATTTGTTTTATCATTTATGTGTATTGATATGGGGCGAAATGGTGCGTATATGTATGTAAGTGTATATGTGTGCATATATATTCATGTATATAAGTATATATACATACACTTACACAAGTATACATACTACATGTATATATATTTATGGAAGTATATGTATAAGTATATGTTTATATACTTAGATGCATATATACAAACACATAGAGATGCATTCATATTAGTGTAGGTGCGCAAAGAAATTAGAGGTAGCTGTCAATTCCTGTATCCAGCATTACAGGTGATTATAAGGTACATGATGTGAGTGTTGGAACCAACCACTAAGCCATCTCTGCATTCCCAGCTTTCATTAAACTTTTTAAAAATTAACCTCAGATGTAACAGGTTTCATTATTGCATTTTTGTAATACTTTGTTTTGGTTTATTCTGTTTTATTTTGTTCCCTCCATTTCTTGTCTGTCCCCAACCCTTCTGCCTCTAGTAGTTTCCTTTGAAGTTCTTGTCACATCCATTCAGTTGTTTTCTGTTATTCTATTCCACCATTTTCCTTTAAATCTCTCACCTTTGATACCATTTTCTGTGTTAATGAACTATAGTAACACTCACTTTCACATAGATTTATGTATTTAAAGCTTAAGCTGTAAGTATTTGATGAAAGCCACTCCTAATATTTTATATTACTTTGCTTAAAATAGTTAAAAAGTTTCTTTTATTGGCTTGTAAATACCATTTTTTGGGGGAGGGTTTTTTTTAAACATAACTACTAAACAAATAGTCTTAATAACTAATTCAGATTCTATCTATGAAATCTTCAAAATCTGGTGAAATTGTTTGATTTTTATCTACCAAGCATAATATTTGATCCTTTCCCATATTTATATAATTCAGAAACTTATACTTTTCTAATATTTTTATATTATTTTCTCTTTTTAGTACTATATGTTGATTAGGCTCTCACTGTGACTTTTTATGTTTCATATATCAGAAATTGAACAGTATTTTATTCTTCAGTATTATTTAATTACATGAAAAACAGACATGTTTGTAATCTTTTATGCATGTAGTAACTACCTAGATAAAACATTAATCTTATAATCTATATATGTATTCAGTATCTTTGCTTAAAGCAGTGATTTATTTCATTATTAATAACTTGACCTTCACTGTTTATATCACTTTATATTTTACATATATGAGAGTGGGTCTAATATGAATATCTGACAAAAGTTATTTAAAGACTTTAATAAATAAACATTTAAAAGAGACTTGAGGCCCCAACAATTTTTCATTTGCTTTATACCCTTTAGTAGATACAATTTTCATACTGTTTTAAATATAGAAGCATGTTTAATAGAAGTTATAATTTTAACTTTGAACGTAAATTGTATAACGATTTGTTTATATATTGAATATCTTGTGTATTTATACCCAACAGAGTAGAGAGTATTGCTAGGCACATTTATCTATATACAACTATAAGTAACAAATTTTTTAAAATAGTGTAAGAGCTTAACTGATACAGTTATTCATTTGACAATTATAAATTATGCACAGTTCCTCTCTATGGTACTACTATTTTGAAGTTATTAATTGTCAATTAGTTTGAGATAGAAGCACAAAGAACAATTATTGTTCAGATATTTGTGCTATCAGGAAAAAAACATGAAGAATGAAAATTATAAGTACAATCAAGGAAATAAACCAAACCAATTGGTATGGATTACAAATGAAATAAAATTTAATTAGCTTAGATTTCTTTTTAATTCTGTTTTAAAAGTATATGGAAATAGAATAGTCTATAAGGTTGTTTCATGTTACAGCCTTAAGGCTATGAGCATTTATTTTTCCTAAACTGGATTTGTTTCGACTTTTTAGCCTTGTATCATAGAATATTGTTCAGTTGATAGTTATATGCCCCTTACTTTCTTCTTAAATGTAGAATTCTATCAAAACATATATAATAGCATAATCACAGTCTTTAACTTTTTATTCCATTTTAACACGAAAGTTTTATATTTATAGATGTATTTCATTTCTTTGACCTGACGATTGGGTAATGTGTTTGCACTGTAAAACACTAAGAATTATAAAATTCTATGAACATAAGGAACCATTGTTATTTATTAGCTTTTTATGTTCACTTATTTCTTAATAATGTATATCCAAAAATACTCTTATTTTTCTTAGAAATTAATATTTTAACTATAGATGTTTGATTCTAAGCCAAACTAAAAGATTTAAGAAACATATAAAGAGCATCTAATTATATATAATAAATACTATAATATAATTAGTATTGTATTTGATAATAGTTTAGTAATTTAGAAAATATTAAACTGCTTAATATTCACAAGTAGCAATCATCTGTCAGAGATTTTTGAGGCTAGGCTAAATAAAATTAAGGTTTGTACACCTATTTTTTTACTTTGATCATAATCTCCTAAATTGCACCTATGTTTTATGTACTTCTATATTTTTAACCTTTGTATTTTTAATATTGTTTATGTATCCAATGAAACACTGTGTTCCAGGGTTAAATTAGTAAAGCATGATTTCTATATTCAAAAAATTGATGATCTGTTGCAGGATTCAAAATCTGACATGGGCCAAATCCTGCCTGGCACATCTTTGTGAAAGAAAAAAAAAAAAAAGAAAGGGAATTGTATTTTCACATG